ATAATAACTACAGAAAAATAATTTCATTCTGTGCAAAGAACAACAAAATGTAATTATGTTCTTTACATTTTCATAAAATCACAAAAAAACAAGTTTGTTTGCAAGTACGAAACTGACCGTGGCGGCAGGGCAGTGGGACCTCCTTTGAGGAGGGTTTTGTAAAGGATTTCCTGAAGAGCATGTTCATCTCTCATCCTGTTCTGTATGAGAGTCAACGTCCTGAGGACAAAAAATAAATACATGTTGGTAAGATGTGAGATATCTGAGCGCTTCAGAAACTACTTTAATAACAATCATTGAAAGGACAAAGAATCTTGACCACATTTCTAATGAACTATAGTTTTGAAATCTGATATTTCAACTTTCAATGGCCACAAAAATAAAGTTCTTATTCAGTGTGCCTGTACATATGGGAAATTATACCAATGTAATGTAAAATGAAAGCATATTATATCCACAAGAAAAACAGTGCAACAGTTTACAGACCTTTTAAACTAAATTTGAGAAATAAAACACTATACTTTTCTTGCAGGGAAGCCTTCAAGTTAGATATCATAATTTTGGACATTACAAATTTTTGTTGTACTTGCAGACACCATGTTGTTACAGTATCTTCCTGTGTGATTTTATTAAAGCTTACCTTTGCCACAGTCTCTGTTGTGGCGACAGTTCAAAAATAACCTGAACAAACATACAAGGAGAAGATATGCATTTGTCAAAAGTTATCTCTAAAATCTTGAAAGAAAAAAAAATATTTAAACATGACCTAATGTTTGGAGACTCACAGGCTCGTACTGAAGGCCGCTGGATGTGATCATGGTCTCAGCCAAGTCCAGAATATCTGCTCCAACATCTGCAGTCACACACATATTTACATATACATATGTTGTACTTCAATGAGTAATTTTTCTAAATCTACAATGACAAAGGTGGGATACTCACGCTGGCATTTCATGGCAACTGTGATGTCAATGTTTATTCTCAATTTACTGTAAATGATGAAAAAGACGAGTGAGAATATTTACAGTAGTTTACAGTAATTTCCTCCTCTAAACTGTAAATTTAAGCATGTAAGAAAGTACAGACATCTAAAAGAAGTCACACATTTTGTTTGTGGGATGTTTTTGTGTAATAATTGATATGTAATACCTCTTAGTTTACCTGGAAAAGTCCTTGTCAACTTCATATTCATACTTCATCCAAGTGTCTCTATAAACAAAGAACTCTAAGATAGCCAGAAGTGCCATGGCACAAAAAGCTATCAGGGACACTGTGGATAAGACAGACAGGGGAGTTACTGTTCTTTCAAACCAGATATATCAGCAAATGATTGATATCTTTACTGTATTGTCTTCCCCCCCCAATGGCCCACCTGTTCCTCCTGATGCTGAGGTCTCAACATAACTCTCTGACACTTTGGGGAAGGCGTCCAGCTCCTTCACCAAGCTCAAGGCTTTCTTACGTGACAGACGCCTCATCTTCAGGTTCACCTCCTCCACCACAAACAAAACACAGTGCATTCTTGTTACATTCAGGACCCCAGTGTTTTATTAAGGATACATATAAAGATGCACATTTTACCAAGAGGAAACAAAGAAAATTGCTAATGATAGAAAAAAATGCTTTACAACTATAACAAAGTATAATCTATTTTTTTTGCATTTATCTGATGATTTGCATTTATCCAAAACTATGATATTTTTCACTTCATGTCTTTCTAACAGTGGAATTTACTGTTTCCAAGTGTCTGCACTCTAAAACATAGAGTATGTATTTTGGCATAACATTTTCAAATACATTTCGAAGACTTTGTTGCCTCAATCAAAATAGTTTTTGTAAAAACAAAATAGTAATAAAATATTATTTTAAAGGTTTTCAAATATAAAATCTGTTTTTATTTGTTAGAATTATACTAAAAATACATTTATTTTATGTCCATTCAAAAATGCTAAAAATAAATAAATAAAAAGTGTGATATTTAAACACATTACGTTGTTTTATCAAAATCATACCCACATATTACACTAATGATTTTGATTTTGGTTCCTAAATCATCACATTTTTGAGAAATTATTGTTTGATCAGATAGGCTGAATATCCAAACAAACACCACATTAAATGCCCCTCTATAACATAATAATATAAAAATGTTACAAGAACACCATGAGATACACTTTACATCAATATAGATACATTAACACTGAAATACTGCCGCAACACGATGGAATATTAAATAATAATAAATTATAAGGTTACTATACAGTCAGTATTGATTACCTATAACCGATATGCAACGAAGTACAAAAAAGTATTAGATTTTCGTGAAGATTGAATCAATCAACTGACTGTCAACTCACTAAAGCAACCCAGCTATCACTGCTTTCACATAACCGTTTATTTATTATTCATCTTACCTATTTTATCATCTAGTAAGATGTTAAATCGTGGTTCAGTATCCCTGGAAGCCTGACTGCTGTTTCGATGTTATCTGAATTATAGCACACCATGTTACATCCATGATGCTAACACACAGGGGGCGGGGCCCGCTGATTCCTTGTTTGAGTAAATTGTGACGCCAGCGAGTGCGTTGCGTGCGCGCCGCGCTGACCGTGAACGCGCAGTGAACGTTGTGGCTATTCAGACAGCAGGTGGCGCTTTAATGCTAAAATGTTGCCCCTGTTTGTACACTCATGTAAATTAAGTAGTTTGAGATTACAATAGAATAGAATAAAATGCCCGTGGTGGTTGCTTTACATAGCTCTACACTTGATTTTGGCAAAAGTGAAAATGTGAATCAAAGAGGTTGTCTAATCAAAACATTAATAAAACTTATTTAGCCTAATAGCCTATAGTGTGTGAAGAAAATACTAACTTCTGCAGCACTGATTCCTGTCATTTAGCACAGACTTTTCACTTTTTCAAGTTTGGTAAAGACTGAATGTACTCGTTATCTTTTTTGCAAAAACAAATTATAGTCGACTACTTATTTTCTCACTTTTCACTGGTCTAATCTCCTTTTATTCTCCAGTGGTGGACTGTAACTAAGCACTTTTACGGAAATAATGTACTTAAGTGAAATTTTGAGTTACTTGTACTTGTGTTCCACTACATGTCAGAGGGAAATACTGTACTTTTTACTCCACTACAGTTATTGAATAACTTTAGTCAGTAGTTCAGTAGTCAGATTTGGATCATTAATACAAAATATAATTGATTAATAAGTAATAAGTCTAGATTACTGAGTAATCAATTGAAATCAGCCCCACCTTTGCCAGCAGCAGTATTAAAGTGATGCCATTGTTGTGCTCTTACTATTGCATCACTAAAATATCATTAATATAATATGTATATCATTCTGAAATGGAGCATTCTTTTGGTACTTTAAGTACATTTTGATGCTAATACTTCTGTATTTCAAATGCAGGACTTTTACATACAACAGAGTAATTTTACACTGTATAGCAATGTTTAGTTAAGTGGAACATATAAGTATTCTTCCACCACTGCTCTGATGTGTTACCATAAGCTAAAATTCTCATAGGTATAGCAATGTTTTCATATCACTAATGCTTTTGGACTATAGCACTTCAAATTGTAGTTAATGTAATACAATCTGACTTTTTAGTTAGCAGTCCAGTTTTGAAATGAGCTGAGTGATTAGTAATGATAAAGACAACAATGGGGTCAGTTTTTAATATGTACAGTAGCCCATATTTTTGTAGTGAAACCCAAAGCCAACCCAGCATGGTTTTGTGCATATGACTCCCAGCTTACTTTCACTTTCCATACTTTGATAAGAAAGTCAGTTTTCTTTTTTTTTTTTTTAAATATGGAATAGTTATAGTAGCCTACACGTTGTCATTTGCAAAGCAGAGCATTACATTTTGTAAAATTAAGCCATAAACAATTCAAATAATGTAGCAAATATTAGTGGTAGTAATTGCACTGATAATGTGTTTTTTTCCCGGGTGGGTGAGTCACATGTCTTCTGTGCAGCGAGTGCTCTGCATGCACCAAGCCTGCTTGCCTATGCCGAGCTGCACAGATGGGCGTAAGGGGGGATGGGGGCTGTCAGCTCACAGATCACGCTGTGGGTCGGTGGTCCCATTACTATTCACCACACAAGCACGTAGGGCATGTCAGACACGCTCCATGGAGACATACCAGGGGTGGATATTGTGGTTTGGTTTTTATGCTATTCCGCAGTGTCTGCTATAGGTTAGGAATATTAACAGAGGCACTTTCTCTTTGCTAATGAGAGGCGTGGGAACACATAGAAGATAAACTCTGCAACTGTGCAAATATTCTGCTGACATAGCAGCTTTGGATTGTGTGATAACATATTGTGTACCTTTGTTCCATTTCGTCTGCTTAATTGCAGTTGCAGGAATATTGAGTAAAATATGAATATTTAAAACATTGCTTTTTATGGCCTAATTTTTATATCCAATAGAAACTTTTAAATGCATTTTATTTGCATAATTTAAGTTCATCAATTAGTCATCTTGGCATATTTTGTGAAGATTTCGGAGCAATTTGATATAGACTTCTTGGATGGTCTTAATGGCTTTTTAATGATAAATAAATAAGTTATAAATAAAATGACTACATCCACTGAAATTTATAACATGTAACATATTTGAAATATTTATATTATTAGTAATAATAATAATATACTGTATATGAAAAATAATTGACTAGTTTAGGCCTATTAGGCTCAACATTTGTCCTTTATTTTGTCAAATCATCATATCAGATTTTACTGAGCATAAGTCTCAGATTGAAATAATTGACAAAATACCCAAAACAAAACCATTATGTCATTCCTTTGTTGGAAAAAGTTTGTGTCTATTGTTGGTGTACCCTCACAACCAGATGGAAATGAATAATTCGGAAATTTACGTCAGCGGTGGGATTGCCTTGAATGGAGGATCTCGTGTATGCTCGGCTCTCCGCTCGGGTATTTCCGGAGTGTGGGTTCAATCCCCGCCCCGCTTCATTCCTGCGTTGTTTGGGGACAGTAGGAAGATGGCGGCGGCCCCGCTGTACTGTGTCTGCCGGCAGCCCTACGATGTGAGCCGGTTTATGATCGAGTGCGACATCTGTAAAGACTGGTTTCACGGCAGGTATGTAGGTTATCATGTCCTTTAGATGTGTGGTCAATTAGAAGTGAGAAACACTAATTGGGTATTAAAGAAAGGCGACGGTTCTCCAAGCGGTGTTGACTGGTAGCTAACTTAGCTTGCTAACGCTAGCGGTGGGCGACGGGGGTTTTAAACCGTCTATTGACGCGACTTTACCGAAGAAAGTGGGGTTTCGTTCTCTAAAATAGGCTTGAATTTAGTCAGTTGTTCTGTCAATGAGACTACAACTTTTACCTGGTCAATGTAATTATGTTGATAAACAATGTTGTAGACTTAAAAACAGTCCAGGGCAAATAGTTTTTAGGTACTAATATGCGGATCCATCAGGATTGCCGAGCTGTATTAGTCAACATGAGTGATCCTAAGCTTGGCGGGGGCATTGTTAGATTTTAAAGCTTGCATATTTGCCAGCTCCTTATATTCACTTCAGAGACGCATTTAATATTGGTTTTACTGTGATTTTACGGATTAAGAGCCAGTTAGACCAGTCGCTGGAAGCCAGTGTGTGTATTCAAGCTCGCAAGCTGGCTCGCCAAGTTAGGGTTATTCAAGGTAATGGAAACCGCAGCCAACCTTTTCCGTGAAACGTTACTTTAAACTTATTTACATAAATTACATTTTATAAACAACTTCTGTTTGTTTACACACAAACTGTAGGTTATTGTTTTACCTGATAAGTTAATAGTCATTTTTTTAATACATACACATTTCAAGCTGTTTATGTAACTTAAGTTATTTGTATTGTGATGTGTTTTTAGTGGTTTACTTTATTAGAATGCAAATGGTAGAGAACAAGGAGCTTGTTATGGTCGGGCTTTTGATTGACAGCTTGAGAAATTTAAATCCCCCTTTCATGCAGAGGAGGCACATGGCAGGGGACCCCTAGTGGTGAACATGGGGAGTATTTATAGGTACCATGCAGGCACACATTACTGGATTGCTTTTTTGTCCTGTTTTCTCGTTTTCTAATATCTTATCCTCATTACTGATTGCAAGTGGGGCAGTGATGTTAGAACAGCTTTTTGTTGTTCATGCGTGTGTGTGGTAGGTGGGTGGTGGCTGTCAAAATCGTAATGGGGAGTTTTATGGTTGTGTAATAAAACTCTTTTGTTTGTCTGAGCATGTATGGCCCAAGATTTCAGATTTCAGTTATACGTGCTCAAGCCTACACCCTACGCTTACGGGTTCAAATGTTTTGGGGTGACCAGTTACTACAAAGCCTGCTGAGGTGACTGTTACCAAGATGGGGCTGTTGTGTTGCTCCCCTTGTACTCTGATCCTGACAGAAGGAAGATCACAAATTGTCAAATTATATGTAGTGTGTCAGACTCGGGTAGCCAAGAATACCTGACTCTGTGTAACTGTCACTTTTTATCTATGTGGCCGCAAGTCCATAGGCCGACTCTAGACAAAAGTTACACATGCCCCGTTCTTCAGTCCTTTGAATCAATGTGTGGGCGCATCTCCACAGCAACGGTTTATGAATACAATAATCTAGTTTTGCTCGTGTTGAAATGACGGAAGCTATTGCGTAACCACATTAAGCGTGCTGCCAAAAAAGACTAGCTGCGTGTCATGTGCCAGCAAGAAAAGGAACAAATGTTGGAGCTTCCCCCATTGATGACTAATAAGCACACAGATAGTCACACTGAGCCAAGCTCCAAAAACAGCCACATTTCCTGCCTCGTTCCCACGAGGCTGGCCAGAAGGAAAGGGATATTCTCTGGCTGTGGATGATGGCACGCTGATGGAGTGGAAAGGAGAGGAGCTCAAACTCCTGGTGCCTGTTTGTCAATGTGCTAGTCAGTTGAGTTGCTGTTTGTGTTGGGGACTTTGTCTCGCTGTCTTGTCAGTTTCTGGTGAGTGTCCTGTTTTCCGTCACCTGTATCTTTCAGCATCTCAGTACACAATACAGCCTGGGACTTTAACGGGTCGAGGACTTGGGCATGGAAAAATGAACACTGTAGTTTGTATTTGTCTAAGTTAGGATCAGTGAGGAAAGCAAAAAATAACATGTATTTGATAAGGTGCTCTCCAATGCATGCACGTATAGACTCCCATATTGACACACATGCCGCCCATACCTGCACCAATCCAAGTTTTTCTCCACAATACAGATTCTACTCTGGGTATATGCAGATACTGAGTATTGATCAGACTAGTTTGTCCACTTTTCCTGGTTCGTCAGCATATCAAAGGTTTGATATGTCTAAATGTATCGTTAGACTGATCAACCAAAGACTGATTTCCCTTCTTAAATACAAGTTTTATCTGACAAATAAGAAGAAGTAATAAACCATCCACCATTTCACAAGAAAATGTATGATCAGGGATCTCAATCTTCTCGTGACCCAGACTTACCCGATTACCCGAAGGACTCCTCTAGGCACCTAAACCCACTACTAGAGCCTGTAGTTTAGATTACAAATGTTAGTTTAAGCTCTGTTATTTACCATTTAGAGTTCACCTAATTACAAGACCTGCCTCTGTAAATGGATTGTTTTCGCTGCTTCCAAGATGCCAATTTACGTGGACACTGGATGGTGGCATGCTGGAAATCCTCACCGGGTCAAGTCAGATAACAGGGCTTACCCTGGTGTAGGTGTCAGACACTCCGGGCAGCCCGTTGTTGGATTTAGTATGGACGGTGGGGGTGATGATAGACCAGCAGGGCTCAATGAGGCCAAAAGAATGATTGATGAGCGCTCCAGCTAGCCAAGTTCAATGCACGATCCGTCAATGTCGCACAGAGTGTGAGCACGCTAAAGAGAGATGGATAGCCTCTACAGAGTGCCTTTTTAGTGTTTACGCTAAGTGGATAGATGGATGAGGGGAAGGGTTCTTCTTTTTTACTACTGTTATCCCTGAAAGAGATGTTCCAGATAATCTGTTTGGATGTCTAATGTCTGGCCAAAGTAAAGAGCAGTCTCATAGCTCCTGTTAAAAGCTATGTTTACATTCATTAGCAAGGCTGTCTCTTGGGGGCAGGGAAACAGCATTACTTTCAGCTTGACCAATGTTGATTAGGGGTCAACAGCCTCGTGTATTGATTACCAGTCAGATTGAATTATGATATTAAAGATATAGCATTTCTGCCATAAAATTTAAAAAAAACCTTGTTCTGATACATGATTTTATAAATAGTATTCCACTTAATTTGGAAGTAAATATGGCTCTCTCTCTGCCATATTGAATCCAAATCTAAATTAAAGCTGCAAGCAGCATTGGGCGGGCCCTCGCACGTGTAGTGCGTCGGTGTGTGAGGCGGCCGCGTTGCATATTCTGGAGCTCTGCTGGTGCGGCTGTGAATTTGCTACGCGCTTCGGACGCCGCATGAAGGTGTTATACGTCACTTCCTGTGTCCCCTTTGAGGCGCTACATAGCACTTGGCGCTATGACTATAAATTAATATTGGCGTGTGGATGTCTAGGGGTGGGACAGTTATCAAGCACGTGAAGTTTCGTTCAGATGTGAGCATGTACACTGAAGTTACAACAACTTCCTGTGTCATGGCGAAGAGTTGATCTTTGATGCCACGCCACGGACACGCCCATCAACGAAAACTCACAGATAACACAACTTTTCATTGTCAATGCCTTTAGAAGGCACAGCACAAATTTGAAGTCGATCTGACTAAATCCCTAGGAGGAGTTCGTTAAAGTAGGGAGTGTGTAAATCATCCAAAAATGACCATAAAATTCGACTTCCTGTTGAGTTTAGGGTATGGGTTCTTGAGGCGTTTTTTGTGTGTCTTGATATGATACATGTCCCCAGAAAATTTTGTGCATGTAGGTTAAACGTGGCTGACGGGCTAATTTTTTCCATTTTTCTAGGTGGCGCTAGCGAGCCATTTTGCCACGCCCGTGCGCGAAACCCATAAAATACGACATTTTTCACCACTTCTGACATGTGTGCAAAATTTGGTGACCTTTCGAGCATGTTTAGGCCCCCAAAATTGAGCTTACTTTGCAGAAAAAAGAAAGAAAAAAAATCCTAACAGTTTCAATAGGGACCTCGCACGGTTCGTGCTCGGATCCGAAATATAATATGGACAGCAGTATTACTGTCACTTTTAAAAACAGTTTACTAATTAGTCATCTTATGTTCAGAACAATAAGCTCATTCATGAGATATTAAAAAATGCTTATCAACATGCATAGAGAGAGAAATGCATCGACAAGTCAGTCAGTCTTGAGGTGAAATCAGACTGAGTTTGTTGGCTGATGCACTTCAATAGCAGACATTCACAAGACTGATCACTTTGTAGGTTTTGCAGGGGCACTGGGGGCCTTAAGACAACCATGCTGACGAAACATATGAAAGCAAAGTCGCAGTACTCTGAGCCTCAAGGCAACTCAACCCGCAGCAAAAACAATTAAGTTGTTAAAACTCCCCGGGGCTCCCTGATGCCCCATAAACAACAAAGTGATCCTCTTTTGTTTATCAGCTGACAGAGAGGCCCAGGGTCTGCTTGAAGCTGTAACCACTGCAGGGATGTTCACTTTTACACATAGCCAGCTAAAATGATTTAACCAGTAAGGCCAAAATGACTGATCCTTATCCATCTGTCAGGGCTCAGTGGCTCTTACTGCTGTCCAAGTCCTGCTCTGTTTATGTAAGCTTTGTCTGAGTGCATTAGGAAAAGGCAGTCAGGTGTTCCTCTGGGGTAGATAAAGATAGCCAGGTGTGTTTAACTGCCCTCATCTCCTCTCTATCTCTATTTCCACAACCCATCCATTAGGGATCTGCCAGTTCCCTAATGTAGGCGTGTCGCTGCCCCATGCAGAGCAGTTATTTAGAGCTTAAAATGATGGTGATGCCCGCCTCCAGCCTTTGTGTTCCTGCACAGATCATGGAGCACAATGAACCCCTCACAGTGCACGGACACTGTGCATGGATTAATGAATAAGCCCTCTCAGTCACACAGGAAGGAGACCCTTGATGAGAGGAAGTGGAGAAAGAGGGGCTGTTGATGGCAGGACTTTAGCCAAATACACACATCTCCTCTCATTCAGGAAGGGATGTTTTGCTTGGTAATCTGCTGCAGTGGCGTCAGAAAACAACCCTCCAGCCTGAATAAGGCAAGGTTTTGTTTTTATCTTTTGTGAGACATATTGACTGTACTCCCCGTCACCTCCTGTCACAATATGTTTTGTTGTTGTCCCACAACATACGATAACACTTAAGTATTAAGGTGAGATCACCTCCGTTGTCTCTAATCTGATCCTGGCTCTGATTGCTCTCCAAGACAACAAAGTTCACGTTGGTTCAGGAACTGCTTGCACACTCACCAGCTTTGCAATTATGCAACACATTGTCAAGCCTGAGCAAGGCAAAAGGAAATACTTGGCCCTCTTTCCCTTTCAGCTGAGTTTCCTCCCCCCTTTTTTACACTCTCTATCTCAAGTACACACACTTTCACAAGCTTGGTTGCCTTGTTAAGTGGTAATCATTACAGGTGACACATACGCTGAGTCAGGCCAGCGTTTGTGGCACAGTGCCCTGATTTCCCACTGTGTCATTACATAAAGGAAAGTACCAAATGAGATGAGGACAACAAAGTCCTCTCGACTTTGCACATGCTGCTCTTGCACATCTTGATGTGAACCCGCCTGCAGAGAGCTGTGACTCATGCTTTCCCCCAGCTAACAGCCACATGTTTGAACCAAGATTCCTGATACATGAGCTAAGGCTTAATACTACAGCCAAGCACTGTTACTGTTGGCCATCCGCTTGCTCACGTGCAAGAGCAGGAGTGTTTATTGAAGTTTTTTTTGGGGTTGCCATTTCCTAATTTTCCAGTTTTTATGTTATTTGGGGCAAAAAGTAACTTGTAAAATAGTTAACTGACATAAACCGGCCTATCTTCCATCAGTAAGTGAGTGAAGTTTATTATGTATTTGTTTAGTAATGATTGTGGCAGCTAAAGCTTTGTAGAAATCTTGACAGTTATATATTCCTGTCTGCATTACAAATGCTGTTTTCAACAAATAAATGTTTGCAGTACAGCCTATAATAACACTTGCTTGTATGTGGTAAACTGTGGAGAAGGAGCTACTGTTAGCATCCTGTTAGTGCACCAGGGTGATTGGGGCCAGCATTCACACAAGCTCACCACTTCCTGATGAGTTAATGGCCCTCTGCTTTATTTCCTTTACAGTTTCCTGCAATTTCTTGTAGATCAAAGCTGATTGCAGGCTGCCATTAGTTCCATCCCTCCTGACCTTTTTAAAACGGATGATAAATCAGCAACAAATACATTATTTGTGTCACTGTGCAGGCTGTGTGGAGCCAGTCGCTAGAGTCCAAGGGGAGGTTTTAAAATGGTAAATTTAAAGTTTCAAGTCTTTGTGATTGCAGTTTTGTTATTACATAATGTAATTTCTACCTTAGGGTAAGGCAACACAGTGCTAATGGTGCTTAGCGGCTTGTTTCTGAATTAGGCGAATTGAAAGCAAACAGAGGAAGTGAAACAATTACATTAGCCACTTGCATATGAGAAGTCAGATTAGTACGGTTGTAGCTTGGTGAGTAAGTAAAAAAATGTTTTTGTCTGATCACACTAGCAGTGGAGTTGTCTGAATGCATTAAATGTGTCTCTTAACTGTCTTTAAATCAGATTTTCCAAACTACATCTGTTCTAACATCCAAGTTTTTTTTATTGTGATGTTTGCGTAGATATGGACATGCCAGTATGTGTTTTAAGCAAAGTAAAGAAATGGCCACGGATTAGAAGCAGACATTTAACAATTATTTCCAGGTCAAGTGAGAACATACGATCTTATAAAATAGTCGGTCTTCAGATCCTACTGTCCACTTTAAAATGACATGTCTGTAGGCCTTTTAAGTACAGAGGGTCCTTTGTTTTTGTGACCATAAAACTTACCTGTGCATACCCACAAACTTGCAGCTTGCTGTTTTTTCTGACTCTAAATAGCCGGTGGCGTCCGTTTACGCTGAATGGCAATTTGCTGTTCAGCCCATGCTGCTCTGGAAAGAGGCTCTGGTATGCAACAGGGGAATGCATGTGTGTTGTTTGGCAGTTGCAGGACAGTCGGGGGTAGCAGTATGAGTGACACACGCATAACCGCAACAAACCTCAATGTCTGCAAAATGCTCAGCCAAGGTTTTGACTTTATGCTGCTTTCACGTAATGACAGCAGAATGGGAAGAACAGGAAAACATCCCTTTATTCCACCTTGCGAGTGTTCACGCTTGTTTCAAGATGGCTACCTGCGCATCTAATCTTGTAGTTACATCATCGAAATAACCTCAATTAGCTACTTTTGCTGTGTTACAGTTTTGGAGTGGTTTACCGACACTTCTTGTGGTCTGATATTTTCAACTTTGAATTACAACTTGGAGATTTTTCTGAATTGGTTGCTCAAAATATGATCTAAATGATATGAAGTGAACGTGGCATTGGCCATGGCCGTGGCCATGCTAGTGACCATACATTAGTATTGTGCAAAGGCTTCAGGTTTCTTGCTCCTATCTCCAAAACCAGTGAGGCTGCAGTTGTAGAGGATATGTTGGATAAATCGATCAGAGCAAAGTTCATTTTTCAGACCCAAACTGTACTTGGCTGTTTCTCAGTGTTGTTTATCCCAAACCTGTAACCCCTAACATCTCCTCTGGTAGCACACGCAAAGTTTGATGCTAACTGATTAAACAGTTTCAGCTTGTCCAGGTCAGATAAGATTTCAGCAGTGCCCACAGTTTTAGTCAACACTCCAGGATTTTTGTTTAGATTTAGTACTAGGTGAGCTATGCTGTAGTTACAGTTTACAATGTCCCAAAAAGGTTTTTGACTGCACACATCTGCTTTATTCAAGATTTCTTGCTAAAGAGTGACTAGAATTTATTTCAATAAATGAACTCGCAACTATTTTGATAACTGATTAATCGTTTGTCATGTTTAAGTAAAAACATTATGTGGTTCCAGCTTAACAAATATGAATATTTTCTGGTTATCTTTGTCATTTAAGAGATTTTAAGGCATCACCATGTCTCTGGCTCTGAGAACTTGTGATGGTCTCTTTTCCTTTTTTCTGACATTTTACAGACCAAATGATTATCAATTAATCAATAACATAATCTGTAGAGGAGAGAAAATGTAGAGACAAAACTGTCATGACACATGACACAGGCATGTAGGATATCCTAAATCATGTTTAAACATGTTGGAATAAGTGTGAACCTATTCTAACTGTATTTCCTGTCCTTCTCCAGCTGTGTGCAGGTAGAAGAGCATCATGCTGTGGATATTGATGTTTACCACTGTCCCAACTGTGATGTTGTACAAGGACCCTCCCTGAGTGAGTATTTCTGTCTGTCATTAGTGGCATGTTTCCATTTCTTTTTGTTCCTTCGTCTCCCTCCTTCAGTCCTAACATGTATCTCATTCATCAAACACTCTCTGGAGTGTTACTCAAGTCTCATTTTTTCTTTTTCTTTTAAGAGGTCGGGAGTTAACCTTGGAGAGCTTAGGGGGCAGAAATTAACAGGCTAATTGAATGTTGTTGTAACCGCTCCACTTTGATTGGACAATCTCTTAGCACAGGGGTTAAGTAGTAAATTAATGTCCTCAAAAAGTGGTGGTGATGTGCATAATTGACCAGTTTGTTGGGAGAACAAGCTTCTAGAGGGACATGATAAAATTAGAATGAAACAACCCTGTGAACCTCCGATGTCTTTGTTTGTTGCAGTGAAAAAGCGCAACAACTGGCACAGGCACGACTACACAGAGCCAGACGATGGATCGAAGCCGGTTCAGGCCGGCACCCCGGTATTTATCAAGGAACTCCAGGACAGGACCTTCCCCAGGTAGATAATCAGATCATCAACTCAACCACTAAGGGTCAAGCATCATTCTGTTTAACCAGATAAAGAGTTCCTCATAAAGGTGCTTTTATACTTGATGGAAGGGGTTTACGGCAGTCCTACCATAGATGCTCTCGCCATAGGTTGTTAATTTATAGTTCAGCCGCTGACCGCAGCTCTGTTCTTTTATTCACTGGGATAGAAAGCAATGATTGTGTCAAGCAGATTTTTTACAGAGGAGATGGTTTTGCTAGATTTGTGTTATTTAAAGCACCAGATAATTGAGGCTTTCTTCAACTTGCTTAATGTTGTCTTAACTATCATAAGCATCAGAAACTTGTTAGAGAAAACACAAGCAGCCCAAGCTAGCTAACCACAATTCTGCACTCTTCACATTCTTCAAACTTGCTGTAACCCAGCTACTGTGTGGCCTACAGCGTATATATGGTGCCTGAAGTGCTTAGGCTCTAAAGCTAGTAGCTAACCCCTCAATGTAAAACTATAAATTGGGTCAGAAGCTGCTATTATTTTGAATGCTGATACACTCACTGCACACTGAAAATCCTGCCTTTTGTGAAATATTTAAGGAGACATGACTCGGAGGCGATAGCAATAAAATGGCAATATATCAAGTTTACTGAACTTATGATCTTGTTTCAGTGGTGAGGAGATTCTGATCCGGATGAAGGGTGAGCAGGTGACAACCAGGTACCTGGAGAAACACAGCTTCAACTACCCCATAGCGGTCACAGAGATGGAGGGCCTAGGACTCAAACTACCACCCCCTACTTTCTCTGTCAAAGACGTCGAGCAGTATGTGGGTAAGGAGACTTAATAATGAACGGGCTCCATTCTGCAGCGTAAAACAGTTGCCACCAGCTGTATCAAATATACAGTAACACATTAGTGTTTATCCTTTGGGAAGGATGTGGCCTTGCTGTGATTGGAATACACAGTAGCCTCAGTCTGCTTAAAAGCTAATGAAACCACCCAACACCAGCCAGCTAAGTGGCCATCGCTGTGCAGGCGCCATCTGTGTGTCAATATGAACAGGTTTCCAAGTTCATGGGGTTTTAACCCACTTATCAGGCATCAGGCGATGGCTGAATGAGTTCTAAATGAGTGACGTCTAAGCTTTCACTGCCCTCTGTATGACCACTACGCTTCCTCATTGAAACGGCCTGCCACTTCCCAGCTCCTATTACAAGCCCATTACCAAGCCCACCAGTGTTTTTATCATTAAGTTCAGATTACAGACTCCCCCTCACACTTTATCTCTCTCTCTCCCATGCCCTATTGAGAATTAAGCCAAGGCACAGGTGTTGTGACCAGGGACTGAGTGTCGGGTTATATTTCTTACAGTTTGATGATAATGGGACAACAGGAGTGAATGCTGTTGTCTTCTGTGTCTCACTAGGGTCTTAGCGGGTGTGTAGCGAACTTAGTGTGTGGCCAGTGATTGGGCCCAGTGGTAGAGCATCAATGAATTGTCAGTGGAAGTGCTGGTGCTTACATGTTGACATATTATTAAACACCATTCTTTTGCACATAAAGCACACCAAAAACAACAATACATAGAGACTTAAGATGAGACAGCCCAGTAAATCCCAGGGGGTTAAATATGTATAAATAAGTGTTATCGCATAAAAGCTGTGAAAAGCTTGGGTGTACTGGTTAAGACGCATTACACATGACTGCCTCAGTTACAGACTTGCACTTATGTTGCATGTCTTAATCCTCTCTTTTTTTGCTATATATTCAGTACTAATGTCACTATGTTAAATGCCCAAAAGCTATATAAATAGTGCAGTACTTTAAATAGTATACATAGGTGCACATTTTTGAGAAATGGTTAAATGCTTTGCTCAGGCAGCTCATGGAAATGCACTGACTTGTGATTTAGTTGTGGAGCAGCAACATCTGATGATTTAATAATCAAATAAGCATGTATAGAAATGTAAAAAAAAAAATACAAATTACAGAAACTAAATATACAGTAATGTGATAAAATATAGGATTTGAAAAAGCATATGATTAGCCTAATCTGTGACCAGGGTGCTCTGTACAATAGCAATCCCTGCACAAACCTTAGCAGAAAAAGCCAGTAACTTCATTACAGCAGCAAGTTTTATCTTTAAAGGTGTATTCATAGTCTTACAGAAATGTACTCTCTGCCAGGAATGATCAAATGTTTGCTCAGAGCAAAACCAGAGTTTAGATCCAACATTTCCACTGCCTGCGCCAGCCGCTGCCCCGGCATGTGCAGCAGACGTAACATATGACCATTGAAGAAGATCAGGATTTAAACGTTTGTTTGACCCCTGGCAGATACTTTATCATTCCAGGCAGACAGTGCACATCTGTGGGATCGCAAAACTACCTTTTGAAGAAGCTGCTGGACCACACGTAAAAAAATAACATTTTGACTTTTCCCATAAGGTTTGTGTAGGAAACATAATGTGAAATGAATTACAGAGTAACGAACCGAGTGCTGAGGTCACAGATGTTGCTGTGATATAAGATTATATTGTTTATATTATATTGGTGTGCAGTCTTATTGATAGTTAAGAGAGTGTTGTTCTGCACAGTGTAGTCAGGAAGTATAGTATAATCACTATTAAGTCTGGAATTATAAAAAGAGAGATACTCTCTCTCTTTAAAGCATGTTGACAAAGATATATTTGCAGTAATTACCTTAATTAATGACCTCTTTAACATAACAGGGTTTTGTAATATATTATTATTGTGGTTACAGCAGGACAGCCGTTAGCTCAAGTGCCTGTCTAGCTGTGGATTTCAGACATTATAAACGCTTTTTCTCTCTCTGTTGAGTTTGTGAAACTGGTGTTTGAGCATGGCGTTGTGTGGTTTCCTGGCAGCTTTGTCTCAGTGTGTGACTGGCTGCGTTTACTCCAGCTGTTCTCTGTCATCAGACGCTGGCCAGCTGGGCCTTCAGAGGTGTGTGGGGGTGGGGGTGGGGAGAGAACATGCAAAGGGGTAATAAAAAGGTGAGTGGGAGGGTTGTGGGGAAAATGCAACAACCAGCTGTCTTACTACACACTGAATCGCGGTCCTACTTCCGGCCCCATGTGTCACCAGAGTGTGATTTGTAGCCTCCCAACTGTTAGCTGTGTAGTCGCTGCTTTGACTTATTTTTTTCTTTCCCTTTTAAGCATCTGGTTTTTGTCACATATGCTCAAACACACCACACGAAGCCTAAGTACGCTCTCTTTCTCACGTGTGTGTGCGTGTGTGTGTGTGTGTGTGTGTGTGTGTGTATATATATATATATACACACACACACACACATATATATATATATATATATATATATATATATGCATGCGCGCGCAGCGGCCCTCTCACCTCTACCCATTTCCTCTCCTCATGGACTAGTGGCCTGGACAGATTGTCTTGCTTGCCCCCTGTACAACCCCTCCCCACACTGCCATATTGGTGCCAGTTTCCCCTCAGGGCTTGATGTCTAAAAGCACATGCAGATGCCAGTGAGCCCCACGCCCACTCCGTACCCAATTATAAAGCCAATTAAAAAGTTGAAGATAATTTGAATAAGAAGTTCTCCTTCTGATATTATATGGACTAAATGGTACTAATCTCCCATCTAGGTGGCAACAAAGTCGTTGATGTGATAGATGTGGCTCGGCAGGCAGACAGCAAGATGAAGCTCAGCGAGTTTATCAAGTATTTTACCAAGCCGCATCGACCCAAGGTCCTCAACCTCATCAGCCTGGAGTTCTCTGACACCAAGTAAGATACGCTCCAGTCTGTTCGCTCTGTTGGTTAAAGGAAGAGCCTCAGTAAGCAGAGATTTTTTATAAACGCAGCAGGACATGTATGGAAGATTTTACTGGACTTTAATATTTGTAATCCACAAATGTGTACTATGATGCACAAATATTTCACTATCTACAAATATGTATTTTTACATTTGTGTTGTGTAAAATCATATCCACAAAAATACAGTGCAATTTGCAGATATTTACAATTTATTCTGTATACACACATTTTAATTTCACATACAAAGTGTTATTTACGCATTTATGGATCTATTTTTACACACAAAACAGTTCTTTCACATTTGCAGCTCATTTCCTGTCAATTTGCGGGTCACCATACATTTATGAGTTCCTTTTTACGCATTTGTGGAATTTAGACATGCCAGTCATGTCAGACTTTTGAAAATGTTCATATAAACCAGCTTTGGCTGTGTGGCAATTATGTAACAACGTTGTTGGCAGTTTAAGTTGGGAATTTTAGTAGAGCTTTCAATTGGGGGGAGAACTATTGTTTCCACTGTCAAGAATGCACTTACTATTATAATAATTTTTTTTGGTTAATAAATTGTTATAGTATTTATTGACATTAAATTCCTGAACGTCTACTTCTAGTCGGTGAAAAATTAATTTCCCATCTCTGTAGATCAATTGAATGACTACTATACTCTGACCGATACTGGATTCTTAGGCAGATACCTGATGTTGCTATTTGGGAATTTAATAAAATCTGAAAATGACATTTTTACCGATAGTACACACGTAACACAAATTTTCATACAACTCAGTCTTGACGCTATTTCAAAATGACCTCAAACCTAGTTTGGCCTTTCTGTATGCAATGTCTTGTTATCGGCCGACATGTACGCCAATGCCGACATACCTGAAATTAGCTAATATCGGCCTGGACAATGTATCAGTCTAGCTTCATTGCCCACTGAATAATTTACAGCAAATACAAGAGTATTTGAATTTATAGTCATTACGTTTCATTAACTTAGCTGACAGTCATGTAATCAGACATGCGACATGCGTATGCTTAAAGCTGAAATGTTTAGTTGAGTAGTTGATCAACAGTAAATTAATCAGCAACAAGTTTGATGATCCATAATTTATCTTGCTCCAATCACCCTTTAAGAATGGCAGAGTTGGTGGAGGTTCCTGATGTGGCTCTGAAGATGTCCTGGGTAGAGAATTACTGGCCAGACGACTCCTTTTTCCCCAAGCCCTTTGTCCAGAAGTACTGCCTAATGGGGGTCAAGGACAGCTACACAGATTTCCACATTGACTTTGGGGGCACCTCCGTCTGGTACCATGTTCTCTGGGTAAGTCTGTGCCTGGAAAAAGAGCTGAATGTATTTTGAAATCAGGCAAGAATTGACAATAACATTGACATCACATGTTTGTGATTTAATGATGCACTTTCATTTGTCAAGCTCAGTGATTTTTAGTGTGTTTGTATATAATGAGGTATTTGGGACAGGCAGTCACGACTGATTGGCTATCACTTGGTGAAAGGTCACCCTGCTCCTCGCATCACATCTACTCATCAAGCAGCTCCGGGGACAGCACTGCTGTCTCGTCCTCCCTCTTCTGTAAACTATAGCCAACATTAATTTGAAGGCGTTCGTGGGTGGATGCAAATCCAATGTAAATATTTTGCACATCCCTGCACTAACTGTAATTTAAATAGCCATATTATACATGTCCCTTATTATTCTTTTATCTTTTCATATCTTATGGTCTATTTTATATGTATGATTCTTGACCTGCAGCACTTGCTCTATCTTTATATTTCTTATATTTTTCTACCTACTATGTTTAGCACCAAAGCAAATTCCTTGTATGTGTAAACCTACTTGGCAATAAAGCTGATTCACATTCAGATGTTTGTAGGTATTTATAACAAGAGCATCAACATAGCTGCCATGGTCAAACTCTTACAACTTCAATGTGTCATTAAAGTGTGGCGACCATTAACTCATACTCCTCTTCAACTGCTTTGCAGGGTGAGAAGATCTTCTACTTGATCAAGCCCACCGCTGCCAACCTTGCACTATATGAGGCATGGAGCTCCTCGCCCAATCAGAGTGAAGTGTTCTTTGGGGACAAAGTGGACAAGTGCTACAAGTGTATTGTGCCCCAAGGAACCACCCTGCTCATCCCTACAGGTACAGGAAGTTTTATCTGTGTTTTTATGTATCAATCCTCATAACGTAATTATCAGTCGGCACAAAGTGTTCTTCAAACAGGACTCAAAACAGTTAAGCACTGTGCCAGAAAGTCCCACCCAGTATTCCAGTTTTTCTAGTAATACGTTTTCTTTGACTGTATTGAATGCAGCACTGAGATCTAATAATACCATGACTGAAGTTGTGTCACTGTCTGTGTTTAAGTGGATGTCGTTAACAAGAGCACTCGACTGGAAAACATTAAAAAGGTCGCTTAAGGCTGAAACGGTGTTCAGTTGCAGAAAAACAGCATTTTCAATCATTTTAAGAATGTGAGGTTTGACATGGAGCTATAATTAATTTGTGAAATGTCTAGATTTAACTGTGGGGGCGGGGGTTATTGGGGTATTATTGTGGGGTCACTATGTTTCACATTTTTTAATGGACCACAGTATACAGAGTAGGATACAAGCATAAGGCACTGTGGGTCTAACAGCTTTTGACTGCCAGGTCAATCAGGGAAAATCTGTGCACTCACATGCTGATGTGCATATGTGTTACCAAATTAAATAAATATATTAAATATATACGTCTGTTATTATAAGATCACTTCTTGAACTGTTCATCAGACGATGGACTGGATTGTAGTTTAACCTTTCAATTCATGCTAAAATCACATATTTACTATGAAATTTTTGCTTACAGACCACAAACAAACCGCATCAAAGTCTCCTTGGAAACAGTCTGACACCCTTTTTTCCAGTCTGTCTCGGGCCTGGTTGTTAGGTCTGCACCAGCTTTTACACTAGACTAAACAAACTACACTAATGGGAAAACGCACCAACAGGTTAGCTGTGAAAGCACCTTTAGAGTCCTGGATGGTGACCTACTTTGTGGCGTTCAAGCACAGTATATATTTCAGGCACTCAGACACACAGCTATCTGTGCCGCTTATCTCATATCAGTGTAGTTGGTGCCTGATTAACTCTTCTGCACCAACCCAGCTAACATTGTATTGTATAGAGTTGTTTGTTTTTTCCACATGCGTTCAAAAGTCTAAATAATCACGCTTCCCATGGCTCCTGCCAGGAAAATACAGGCCTCTTGAACGTCCTCTATAATTGCTAAGGGAAAATAACAGAGGGAATTTCTTCCTGAGCAACAACCCAAACAATTCTTAATGATCATAATTACAATGGAAAAGTGAAGAAAAACAGCGCTATTATGTAATGCAATGAAAGCAGTCATGATGCTGTAGATCACAGCTTTCCCTGCACGTGACTTTGCAATCTCACATTCCTGTAAGTAGAAGTGGTGCTGTTGTAAATAAGAAGTTGTGTTAAGAGAGTAAAAAGATATGTATTTCATGTCATAACTGAATATGACGTGCTAATGTCTCCAGTCATACACTGGGATTACCCATCCATGAGTCTCTCACTAGACTTTTTTGCTTTGCTCTCCCCATGCCCCCAGACAGACAAAGCTCAGTTCAGCCCGTCAACTGCTGGACGTACTCTATCAGTCTTCTAGCGATGCTTTCTCAGCAGGCTGAAGCAGCATTGTAAAAGAGAGCCTTTGGCGAAGAGGTGGGAATTAAGTGGGGGTCAGAGAGCACAGTAGGTCAGTCGACCGGTGCATTATCAGGCCTGTCTATCAGACTTACACCAACCCCCCCCCCAGACTGCTTTCTCTCACTTTGTGTTGTGTAAAGAGCACTGTTTATTTGAGAGGGGGCACACATCATGTAATAGACAACCTTATCTTTTTAAAGTCTGACTGTGGGAGGATAAGAAGTTGGTTTTTGTATGTGCACACGTGGGTCCTTTCTGCAAATGCTGTAAATACCTATGTATATTCATGTAGATAACTCTAAGCTATGCGTTAGAAGTGCCTAGTATTAAGGTGTTAATTTAACTGTTCTCTCTTTAAGTATGTTGTTGTTGGTTGTTGGGAAGCTGTGTAACTATCTGTGCTCTGGTGCCCCCTACAGGCTGGATCCATGCTGTGCTCACCTCTCAGGATTGCATGGCATTTGGAGGGAACTTCCTTCACAACCTCAATATTGGCATGCAGCTCAAGTAAACAGATCAGCTAATACAATAATGGCTTGACTATATTTTAATTTATTGTATAAATTTATTTACTCTTGTGTTTGTGAATTTATCACTAAACTATGTTTGTGTTTCATCTGTTGGTTTTGTAGGTGTTATGAAATGGAGCGTCGTCTGAAAACCCCAGACCTCTTTAAGTTTCCGTACTTCGAAGCCATCTGTTGGTATGTGGCCAAGAACCTCTTGGAAACACTAAAAGGTGAGAGTAAGATGTTCATTTATAAAAAACACATAATATTAGGTGTAAGATTAAAAAGTAGATGTTTTACAAATCAGACCTGTAAGAAAATAATAATAGTAAATACAAATAAGCTTTAAATGCAAATGGTTGATAAGAGCATCAGTTAAAATGTGTGCAGTCTAAATGATGGAATTAGAAGTGCCATTACAGCCATCCCCATAATAGTCTTGAACTCTGCATGTTTTTGCTGACCTGTGGTTATCTTATATCTCCACAATATCAACTTTTCATACACTAATTAAAACGGCTGTTTTCAACTTTGTGACAATGTATCTTAACATAATAGGGGAGGTTTAGTAGGTTTTGTCTCTCTCAAGTAGTAGGGTGCTTTTCTCAGTCCACAAAGAAACACTTAATACTTCAGTTCATATGAAAAATTCTATATCACAAAATTTGTAGATAATAAGTTTATTTATATAGACCAAAGTTTAAATATAATGCATCAGCTAGGGAAGGTAATTTAATCTGTTTTAAGTTTTCTCTGTGATGTTTACATGTTTAATTCTTGTATGATTTGTTTCCCCTCTCAGAGTTACGAGAGGACAACTGTTTGCCACCAAACTACCTAGTGGAGGGAGTTAAGGCTTTAATCATTGCACTGAGGACCTGGTTGAAAAGAGAGGTGAGTCTGCCACAATGTTCTCACGGTCACCTCTGTATACCTGCATCTGACTCTGAAATGAATATCTCCTGTCCAGATGGTTATTGTTACACAGTCGGGGGGGACGTCACAACTGTTTGTTCTTATCTCCTGGATGTGTGTCAGTGGTCAACAACAGACTTCTTTCTGTTCACTTCTCCAGTCTGAATGTGGTCTGTTGTGGATTTACAGGTGACTGAGCCCAGCAGTGAGGTTCCAGACCATATCAGGCCTAACCATCTCATTAAAGAGCTGACTAAGGAAATCCGCTACCTGGAGGTAAGAAGGGACGAGGACGAAAGGGTAAAGGAGAGGGTTACACCTTTTATGTAGGTGTTGATGTCAACAGCAAAGGCCGTAAATTGATGCATCGGTGGTGTTTTTTTAATATCATAAAATGTATTATGCTGTAACTTGTTTTTCAAGAGACAAATTCAGGACGGTCAGTCTTTAGACGCTGGGACGTTATCAAATGTCATCATGGTACTTAAATAATTTTCTAGAGATGATGTCCTTTAGTTAGCAGTGGTTATTATCAGGAGGCACATGCACATCCATACATTTTAAACAGGTGCTGGGTAGCAATAATCTGCACAAAGAAAACAAAAAAAGTACCCACACACTTCTGTCTTCTCCTCCTTCTACCAGTTTGCATAACAATGTTTCAACCACAAATGTTCTTTCTCTGGTAACGATGAGGGTGTGAACAACCTCGTGTACGTAGACAACGGAGATAAAACATTGCACATTATTTGCGAACTGGATATATACATGTGAAAACCACTACTGAGTGGTCACACACAACCCATATAAATGTCAAATCCACGTTACATTACAAGTGCATAACTGGATGCGCACACACACAAAAAACCCAAAGAAATGTATTAATGGTACTTGATCTAAAAAACTAATTAGACTGCTGAAGCACAAAATTCTATGTCACTAAAAGGACATAGATTGCGTGTAAGCTCATTCAATTCTAAAATTATAAGGAAAAATGTACAATCAGGAGTTAGCAGGTGGATGGATAGATGGATTTACTGACTGGTGAGAATCAGCCTACCCAGTGGTATGCGATCTAATATACTCAATAATTTGGGAGGGTACAGGGTAGAAGTCCACATAGAATAGGATATATAAATATTGAATATTTAACATTGTTAGGGGAACTGGAACAGTAACTGGAGCAGTGCCCAATTAATAAAAGTGAGCAAAAGTTTTGTGAAAGTTAACTATGATTTTTTACAATTCTTACAATATTTGACACCATTTCACTTCATATTAAGAAATAAGAAAAATCTTATTGCTACAAATGAACTGCAGCCTACACACTCTTTACCAGTGTAGTACATTATCTGTATTTCTTGCTAGATTGTGTAATTTTTGCCTTTTCTAAACTGTTTTTTGGCAAATAAGGATTCTGTTTATGATCTGTTGAGTTCATTGGCCTTTGTTACGTAATGTACAGATTAGGTCGGCCTCACATCCCACACACAGGATACACAGGACAGCCACACTGACATCTGATTATTCGGCAACTTTGGGGAAAAAAAAAAAAAAGTTAAATGGCAAACAATTCTTGCAGGCAATTAATGAACTTGTGAATGACTGATATTTGATTCCATGTTGTTTTTTTTTGTTATTTACATCAATAGGAGGAACCAGTCAGTGGTAGCAAGCCAGTGAAATCTCAGGGAAGTGGGTGTGGAGTAGTATCTGGATTAAACGGCTGCCCGGCCACTCGCTCCACACTGGAGAAGCTGAGCCAGGTCCGGCGGGCAAGAAAGGCAGCCAGGCGGCTGAGGGAGCAGCAGCGGCAGGCCCCCAAACTGCCCTCCAACCTGGACATCTTAGAACAGCACACCAGGGAGGTGCTGAGGAGGCTGGAGGTGGGACCTCTGGAGGAGGTGAGCATCAAGGAGCAGTGGTACTAACAAAACATATCATGAAATCTGTAAAAAAAGAAACAAACAATAGTTGGTCAGTGTAGATGCTCCAGAAGTGTATATATGTGGACTAAAAGATGTAATGGCTGTGTTTATTGGCTGACGCTGGTCTATGCTACTTAGGATGTGGCGTTCTGTGCCAAGGTTCACGGGAAGCTCAACAAAGTGTCAACTGCCTCAGCTGCTGCAGAGTCTTTAGATGACAACCACCTACGGCTAATGCTGGTTAACGGCAGAATTATCAGGTAAGGTCTCTTATTAATTATGGCTCAGTGGTAATTTACACCAAATCATTCAACCTACATTTGGGAACATTTGTTAATTAATATGCACATTCAAATGTTGTTCAAACAGTAAAATAATGTGACCATTTAGAAAAATGCATCTCAGTCCAAACAAAATGAGAAAATCCAGGTCCAAACTATGATAACTGCATTAAGGAACATAATCTAAATCATAACAGAAACTAGAGTCAGAAATTTACAACAGTACCTTCACCTCAAATGGTAAGTTCAGTATTTTGCAACTTGGACCCCATTTTCCTGTGTTTTTGTATCTATGCGATAAATTAGGACAACATTTATTTTTTGAGCGTGCTGCAGCTGGCAGCAGTGGAACAGGGCTACAACCTATTGTTTGTGGGCATTTGCGCCCTGTCAAAGTACGTCCACTAAAGTGTTTTTGCCACTGACAGGCTCAGATTGTTATTACAAGAGTCTGACAACATTATGGAAAGGATCTCTACACAGATGGACGTTTTTTTTTAAAAGGGTAAAGTCCTTTTTTTAAATTTTTTTTACTTTAAAACCAGAAACAATAGCTACATTGCTATTGTTAAAGCCACTAGACTTGCTTGACAAAAAATGTAATTAGGAAATGGTAAAACAGGGTCCAGGTTGAAAAATACCCAACTTAGCCTTTAAATAATGTTGATAAATAACATGAAAGGAAATAAAACAAGGGAATTAGGTTGCAAAGTTTGATTCATTAAACAGATCACATTTTTTGTTGTTGTTCATTTTAAGACACACAGGCTTTTGATAATGTGAATATTTCTATACTACCACTCTACAGTCAAAATTCTTTGTGAAAAATTCAAACATGTATCCTTGTGCGTGCAGAGATATGAGGCGGCCAGCCTGCAGCCCGGTAAAGACGGAGGGTGACCGGTCATCTGATGACCAAGACCCACCAAAGAGCTGTGTGGATGTGAAGTCGGAGAGGACGCGGGACAGTCAGGAGCAGCACAGCACATCGGAGAAACCTACTCTCCTCCGTAAGTCACCAGTGGCTGTAAAGTTATTAAACCCATATTTTAGCAGAGAAATTTAAATCACGCACATTTATGCCAAAGATTTCAGCTCAGTGTGTGTTCCTGTGTTTCCCAGGTGGTCTGGAGAGGGTGAAGACTGAACTCAGGGAAGAAGCCTCAGGACACTCCAGTGTGTCAGACGTGGAGTCAGACAGTGACTCTCACTCAGAGGTAAATGATTGTTATATCACACTTTGTGAAAGAAAGGAAAAGCACAGTTAAAAATGAGCTATTTAACAGCACCAAATGCAACTTATACCTCATATTGAGATGTATTATGTTGTTTGGAGTCAGATTATAACTTCATAATCTTATTTTGTGACTTTGTATTGTCAGTAAAGTCTTTGTTTTAAGCTAAATGTTTTATTAATGGAAAGGTTATACTTTGATTTGATGTATGTATGTATGGGTTTATTTATCAGTGACAATGTCAAAATCTTATTGATGATAGTAAAAAAAAATATCACACAGGACATACGTATACTACATGCAATACAGAAATACACAATACATGACTAGGTGCGTTGGACGACATTGCGCTGCATTATTAGGAGCTAATTGAAACATGCACAGCAGAAGCATAACAATACAAAGCTACACACACAGTACGTGTAATACATAAATCACACCAGCTGGAAAAATTAAATGCATTATGTAAAGTCCCAGAATTACAAATACAACATGCAACACCACAGTGTGCTGAACTTTTTACGCTGCGTTACTGATGCATCCTTATTTTAAAATTGGTCTGTCAATGTAGCATAAAACGTCCTCGTCGTCCTCGTCGTCCTCGTCGTCTTCTGACGAGGATTCAGAGAGTTCCCAGGAGGATGAAGAGAAGGAGAAGAGGGGCACATCTCAGCAGAAAGGCTCAGGACACACCATAGAGCTGGACCAGTCAGGCCAGAAACTCAGGCACAAACACAAACCACTCAAACGGTGAGAAACGCATGCAAAGATGTTGAAAACGGTCCCACCAGGGCACTCCTCAAATCTCAAACGTGTTTTAATTTGTTTTATTTTATAAGTGCACTAAGAGGTCACATTTAATGAAGTCCGGTCTGTTTCCTGCAGAGAACGTCCTACCTCACCCAGCACAGAAGAGGCCATTCAGGGGATGCTGTCTATGGCTGGTCTGCTGTGCACCTCCAAGCCGGAGAAGGTAGCCTCGCCCCAGGAGCACTGGTGGTCCAGCCCCAGCCGCTGCTCGCCGCTGGAGCAGAGGGAGGCGGCGCAGCACCAGCACCGTCTGCAGGGAGACAACAGCCCGATGGACAGCCAAGGCAACAGCAGCGAGGCCTGGGACAATCAGGGGCTCCCCAGCCCTCTCAGCCAAAGCCACGCCAGCAGCCCAGAGACAGACTACCAGTACTGTGATCCCTCGATGTCTCCACCACTGCACCCCTCCAAGAGGCACGCGCCTAACCCTCCACCTATCAGCAATCAGGCCACGAAAGGTTTGGAAATCAGATCAGTGACTTATCATTTTATTCACATTTTGAGCACAAATGTGAATATTTGCTTGTTTTCTTTTTCGGCTTTGGATTGTTAGTCAGACAAAACACGATGTCTAAATATGTCAACTTGTGCTCTAGTAAAATGTGACAGTTTATAGACCAAACGATTAATTTCGAAAACCAATGACAGACTGATCGATAATGAAAATAACTGTTCTGTTCACAGCTCTAGTAGACATGCACTGTAAACACTCACTCATTTTTTTGCTTAATTATAATGCTCTTCTCTTCTAATTAATTAATACCATTAACTTGTGGTCTGCTTTATTTATTTATTTTCAGGCAAGCGGCCCAAAAAAGGAATGGCCACAGCCAAGCAGAGACTGGGGAAGATCCTGAAACTCAGCAGACACAATCGAGTCTTTGTGTAACACTCCAAATCTTCAAAGGCAAAATGACATGTGGGGATGTGCTCTTGAAGAGGGGAAAAAAAGAAACATTTGTGTATTTGTTACCAGACACTTTTGTGCTGTAGAAATGGGGGGGTGGGAAGAAAAAGAACACACTGCCTGGAGACGACCGCAACTGAACGAAGCTTGACACGTACAACACGCTCACTGTGCATGCATAGGAGACAGGGTATTGGATTTGAAAATAAGCAAGTGCACGACTTCACAAGCACACTAAGAACAAAACAGAAAGGAGCAACGGGAAGCGGAGAGGACAAGCATGTTATGAAATTTTCTGCTGCAGGGAAAAGTGGACTCAAGCTCCTGCGGGCATTTAAACGGACAAAGGAGATGTCTACCACACAACACAAAATGCTTGCTTTCCCGTGGAGCAGCAAGATATCCACTGCTTCTGATGCCAACATCATCTGCATCACATTGACTAGTATATCCTCTCTCTCTGCTGAACGCACCGCCCCTTCTACCCACACCTGTCACTTGCCTCATGGCTGTCTGCGACAAACCCCAACAGGACGCAGGAGAAGATGAAACGGAGTCGCATCTCTAGCAGGGTTTTTTTCCCCCCTCTGGCCGAGGTGCTAAGGAGGAGAACTGCAATTTCAAAATGGTGCTCATTGTTTGTACTTTTCTCTGCTCATGCTTGTCCCCCCCCCCTCCTTTTCTCAATCACACCAGCAATAATGACTTTTGAGGAGCGGAAAGAGTGAGAGGCAGCACTTTGGTGCATTCCTCCCCCGATTCTTCTACATGTGGACATCTCTAAATCGGAGACTTATTTACTCATTACAGACTAAAATATACCCTGAAATGTTTGATAATCAGACTTTGTGTCTGTTTCCGAGCAATTTTGGCTAAAGGCTCGTTGCTCAAAGTGCTGCCTCTCTGAATTTGTTTAAAATAGGAATTAAGAGTCATTCAATCGGCCTAAAAACCCGAAGATGGCAAATGATTCGCATGATATCCTGCTTAATTTATTTCTCGTTTTATCTGTGATGTTTTTTTTTAATGTGTTTATTTTTATGGATTCTGAATGATGTATTTATTAATTGAAAGAGAATGATTTTATTATATTTTGACTTTACAACCTCAGCTATTTTGAGGTTTTTTCCTTTTTATAGGAGGGGCTTCTCTTTTCTTTTTTTATCTTTAACACAAGCTTTTTGTAAATGTGGATGTTCATTAGAGTTCATGTGATCATCTGTTGAGTAGCAATTTACCTTCATATCTCTTATTACCTTCTATTGTCACCCCCTGGTGTTAATTCTTGTCTGTTCTGGTTTCCTCTTCTCCCATAGCCCAGCAGCTAGAAGTATTGGGCTATGTGCAAATAGAAACTAGGTTAGGTTGAGAAACATCAATTTCAATATCTAACACCTGAGCTTTTTCAACTAGTGCCACTTGTCATTTTGCAAAAAACAAGAGTATTCTGAGCCACTGGTCGATCCAAAGTAGTCGATGCATTCAGAAGAAGTGAACGCTTGAGGAACTTCAATGGGATGAGTGAGGTTTTTTAAATACCAGTGCTGATGTGTGTTTTTGCTCGGGGTGCGCAGTTCTTCACTCTCAGGGAATGATGCCATGGACATAACCTTCGATTAACCACCAGCCACGTTACGGATAAAGACAGGATGCTCTCAGCACTCGCTCAAGACTTTAAACATTCACCTCGTTCTTTGGAGTTGCTGAGATTTCCTTTTTCATTGCTCAAAGAATTACTTCCTGATCGTGGTTTAAGTTTTAAGAATAAGCGGTGCTTTAAACCAGTCAAGTCATTGTACTTTATAGGCTAACACAACGTCTGTTAACATGAATTTGGTGTTGCTTCCTAACCCGCATTCAGCTCAGTGTTACAGGAATCACCCTTGCTAAGTTGACTCAAAGACATTTCACACATGACACCTAGGCTAACTGTTGCCAAGTAGCTTTAAGACCACTCCTTGAACATCATGAGACTTTGAAAGCTTTGCTCAGGTTGACTTGTAGTGCACATTACCTGCGAGTGGCTGTGTGATCATTCAGCGCTGTTCACATAATCCCAAAACAAATAACCAATTTAGAAAATAAGTGTTATTCATATTGTCAGACTGATTTCTTCCTTTTTCTTACACTACACTTTAACCTTTTTGCATGTCAAGTCCTTGAAAACACATGAGCTGGCCCGCAGGCAGGGTTTGTTATAAGCTGTAGTATTCATTGTACAGGGTCGGTCCCTTTTTTGCTTTTATATCGGCTCTCTTGGCATTTGTGTTAGGTGCGTTTGTTCTTGCTATGTTTTTTTCCCCCCCAGATTTAAATGGCTTATGATTTTAAATATACAAACACTGGCTAACTGTGACACTGTTGATGCGTTGCATTTTGTTTCTGCATTTCAAAAATTGCGTGTAAATAAAACTAATGAAATAACATGTCTTTTTGTCAAGCCCAAACTAACTAATGTGGCCCAATAATAGCTTCCTATTTTTCCACACAGCAGCTGTAAAAGAAGTTTAGACCTGCGCGTTAAAGTAAAAAGACAACAGTTTAACATATTTAAAGATAATTTTATTAGTCTATGTACAACAATGACTTTCAGAATATCATGAAGACTTCCATAAAGACTTGCCCAGCAGCTTGAATCCTTCATGGCAATCTACAAAGAAAGGACAACAAGATAATGTTTAAACAGTGGCGCTGAGTTGCCAGTTAATGTTACATCTAGCTAAAACAAATGCAGTCTAATCCAACAGTCCTGCAATAAATCCTTCAATCATTAAGGTTATCAGTTTGTTGAAACTGTTTTAGAGAGGTGTTTTTTGATACTGCAGTTTATCTGATCTGTACTGCAGTACAGAGAGGCATTTTATTTTGTCTACCCTTAATGATATAAATGGGATGGACAAAAGAGAAACCTGTATAATGCAAGACTGTTCAATAGCACAACAATCGCCTCTAAAATGATCAGTTTACTTATTAACCTTTGTGAAGTTAACATTTACTGCAGGGCTGTTGTATTAGACTGCATTAGTGTCAGCTACTTTTAGTAAGTAATGATCTGTCTCCTGTGATCAGGTAGATTTAAAAAAATAAATAAAATATGGTGTGTTTCTGGTCAAATTTAAATGCAACACATCTAGAAAACGTAAACATTTACACGAGGCAATTTAGGAAAGATGCTGTGAATCATCAGGATAATGGTGGATTTATTTCAGACATGAATTTTTTACTGTCAATTTTACTGATTAACAATTTGTGAGAAAAACCTGCATACTAGCATTCTTAATGAAAAGAAAATTTAAAAACTCATTAGGTGTCCAGGTGCATCTCAATATCGTGGATCGTTAGCACCAGACAGAGTAAAGGCTCAGGAAACCTTGGCAGGTATTGAGTTAATTAGCTGATCAGAGCTCTTAGGTTATAAATTCTTTATTCTAAAATTGTAATCGTTTTAAGATACTGGAGTTTTGATTTCCATAAGCTGTAAGCCATAATCAAGATTAAAATGAAAAAGGCTTGAAATATTTGACTGTGTAATGAATCTAAATTTCACTTTTTTGACTTAAATCACATAATAAAATTAACTTTTTTACGGTATTCCAATTTTTAGAGATGCTATATATGTAGTACAGCTTTTGAAACAATCGAGTAGAGATGCCTAAAAATGCAAAGAAAAAAAAAACATTTGATCTCATCTTATCAGACCTTATTCACTGAAGACTTTTGAATTCAATTACAATTAAATCAACTGTCACGTTCACTGGGAAAACGAAAAAGAACAGAACCATAGTCAACGTTATTAGTGACGTGTGCTTTTCCTACTTTAACAAATCAAAATCTCTGCTGTGAAAAGGGCCTGTGTCGGTCTATAGAGCTATTACAGAAATGTTTTATTGGGACTTGACACAGAGTCAAATGACAAGGATGAAAATGGCCCTGTTCTGTCATGACAAATGTTTATGAATGTCAATGTATTTCCTCCACAGACATCGTTATAAACTTCAAGAATTCTTCACATACTGGCAAAACATCAATTATTTTTTACATAAATGGAATGATACAGTTGGACGCAGATCTGCATTTTGAGTTCCTCGTCTAATCAGAGCTAAAACAATACCGCCTAATAAATATTAAAGTTGAGAGTTGTTAAACCTTTAACATCAAAAAATGTTAATTACTTAGATTTAGTTGATTCTCTACTGTTAGTTTAAAAAGGACTTAATTAGCAAATTTGAGGGAAGAGCAGGTTTCTGTCCTGTCTTTTGACATTTTGACAGCAATCAGCCTTTTATTCACACGTGGATTACATGTTTTACAAGTAAAAATGGTTGTCCTGATTTACTGAAGTATTCACTTAAGTAAAGGAAACTGAAGAAATCACCTTATTCCTCGTCGTCTGCTGGGATTCCAAGCTCCTCGTCTGTCCATGCTGAAGCATCAGGCCAAGGGAAGTGACCCTACAGAAGAGGGAAGACCCTTAATTTAACATCCTAAATAAATAGATTGTGTTCCCGTCAGGTTTCTGCAACAATGCATACTAACACAACTAGTAAAACTGCATACATTTAAAATATAAAAAATGTATGTACAAATATTTTTTAGAGCTATCCCTTTAGTGAGCAGTGGCCTCACGTATAAACGGTGCGCACATACTAAAAGGTTGCGTACTTTTGTGTTTTCACGCAAACACCGCTGGATGTATAATCATGAAGGTGACGTCAGAATGTGTGGGCTGTGCCGCAAACATTTGTCTGGCTCTGTCTGTAAACTACAAAGTACTGAAACTCACCAAATGTTTCAAAAAGTATCCACTCCAGTTACTGTGCTACATCTATGAAATAGTCTAAACACATAATTATACTGTAATTACACCGGAAAGTATTCATAGAACTTTTCCCACGTTATGTTACTGCCTTACTCCAAAATGGATGAAATTCATAATTTTCCTGAAAATTCTACAAACAACACCCCATAATGACAATGGGAAAGAAGTTTGTTTTAAATCTTTGCTAATTTATTTAAAATAAAAAACAACAAAAAAGCACATGTACATAAATATTCACAGTCTGGGTCACCTCCCTGACTAGGGCCGCCCAGCCAAAGGGCAGCTCTAAGAAGAGTCCAGGTGGTTCCATTTACAGAGGATGGAGGCCTCTCTGCTCTTTGGGACCTTCAATGCTGCAGAATTTTTTCCTGTACCCTTCAAAAGATCTGTGACTTGATACAATCACGTCTTGGACCTCTACAGACAATTCCTTAGACTTCATAGCTTGGTTTGTGCTCTGAAGTGCACTGTTAACTGTGGAACCTTATATAGACTCGTGTGTGCCTTTTCACATCATATCCAATCAACTGAATTAACCACAGGTGGCCTCCAATGAAGTTGTAGAAACATCTCTTATTGGGTATTGTTTGTAGAATTTTGAGGAAAATAATGAATTTCATCCATTTTAGAATAAGGTTGTAACATAACAAAATGTGAAATGTGGAAAAAGTGAAGCGCTGTGTATACTTTCCACTGTCCACTGACACACCATAATAGTTTGACTATGTATGTGGATAATGTTTAACATAAAAATGAAATCAAATGTGAGGAGTAGGTTTAATGATGTCTCTCACACATTTAATTTAACTTCCTCTTTATCATAAACATTCAAACCAGCAGTGTTATTTGTGCTTGCACTCGTGAGCCATAACAATTACATATTGCACCTTTCAACTGTCAAAGATATATGCCAACTGAAATCAAAGTCCACTAAGTATTTCATCAGCCCCTGTCCAGAGCGCAGCGGAGAGAGCCAGTTGTGGCACGCCACAGCTGCCAGGATATGGCAGGTGGCAGGATTCTGGCTTGCCTTTCCCTGATATTAAACGTGAATTTAGCTACCGAGTCCTTTTCAAACTTTAACTAGGCTAACGGATGGAATTATCATCATCGGTTGTAGAAATCCAAGATAATATTAAATAGCATTAAAGAATTGCAGAAAAGAGCATCAATTGTTCATCAACTTTTAACACGCTGTAGTAAACACGACTGTGCTGTCGTGGTGTGCATACACACTGCCTTCTTGGACATAGGGATTGTGAAAATTAGCCAAGTCTGGAAATAGCGTAAGTGACACAACTCTCACAATCAATGCACTCCAATCCTCATCATCAGTCCTGATCATAAGGCAGGCCAAACATCACAACACGGACATAAAAAATGTGCTCACCTGTCAACTAAATATCTACCTTATTTTAATGTATATATCCAGGGTACGATTTGCGTGGGATTTCCCCTTTTCTGGTTTGTATATCCCTGATGAATATTTTTCATCCCAAGTGGGGACAAAATTTTCCCCCCACTCAGAGTGATCAATGCTACTTCACCAGTGATGTTTCTATGATGACAAGCAGCCCAGTGTCCATGCTACACCAGTGAACATGCCCTAAGTCACAGGTACGGGGTTTTACTCTGTGACACTCTAGGGACATCTTTTAAATCAGTCGCTCTCCCCCTACCCACCAATGTAGCTTTCGAGTTAAACACAGCATGCATCTTTTCTATCTTTTCAGTGCAGCTCTACATCGCGATGTAACGTAACGTTTTTACTTAAACAGTAAGTACTAGTACTTCCTTCATGGCTCATAACTTTGATTCATTAATACCTATTTCATTAGAAACCCCAGAGTTAACACAGCCAGGTGTTTCGATAAACAGCTTCGTGATACTGGTAAGTTAATTAAAACATTTTTTAGGCTAGCAACATTCCAGTGTCCTGTTTTGGATCTGAGCCCCAACTAAACTCCTTCATACACCCACCTGCGTTACAGTGTCACGCTCAGTGGAAATGGGTCTAGGTAGTGTATACATGTTGACTTACCAGGACTGCATCGGGATCGTGCCAACAGTGCCAAAGGATCCAAAACCACATCGCGCCGCTAATGAGTTCTGACTCAAACTTCTGTTTCTTCGTTATCTGAGGATATTGCCTGTACTGTGGCTCAATGTGCGGTCCACCGCCAGCCCTTGAACATAAAAAACACACTTTCAATATTGAGTCAATATTAAATAACGTGGAATATAGGCAAACATTTAAAATTGTGTTCTGGGTTTTTAATTCATCGCCGTGTTAGCAAGTCGTTGCTACGGCTAACGCAATAGCTAAGATGCTAGCGGGTTAAATAATAACTTACTTTCTGGTTGTTATCCTTTGTGGGCCGCGTCTGACGAACCGACTTCCTGCGCGAAGGACTCCCAACGCCCTTCCAAAAGAAGACATGGCTGCTTACTTAGAAAACAACAATCTTCTTTTGGGTTATATATCAAGATTTCTATGAGCTTTTTCGCCCTGCTCTTCGAGGAGTCACCTTCTCCCCCTGTCAATAAGCGACCTCCCAACAAAGACAGCTGTGATTGGGCAGAGAGTAACGACGTCCGTTCTTCTTCTGTGTTGGCTAAATGAAAAATACATTTTTAAAACACAGCGCCCCCTCCTGTTTTGATGCGGACATGGCTTTCCCTTTGAGTTATCGATTATTTGATTATCTTTGCTGTATAGTTTTTAAACTATATATAATATAAAATTAAACATGCCATTTTATTGATGATAACTTTGGCTAGTGACTTGTTCACCTGCGTACTGAATCACTACTGATACCATTGTGAATAAAAGATGAAAACTTGTATGAAAACTATTTGCACAACTTACATTTTTTATTAAAAGGTTTATTACATCAAGAATAACATAACACGTAAAACTCTAGATATAAATATTCGATGTAATTCTGTTAACAAGAAGTTAGTCGTCATCTTTTCTTTAAGTAGTAAGTACGTTTCTTTGTACTTCTCAAGGATTGAGGTTGCTCTACTGATTTTTCAAAACACATCAACACCCATATTAAAAGTCATGGTCTTGTTTCTAAATTGTAATACTGACTCACAACCCAACAATGATTCTCTGAAACTGTTGTTTTTTGTTGGAAAATGTCACTCCTAATTTTTATTTGTTTTGGTATTGAATTACAATATCTCTTTGACTCTGTCTCTAAGTTATTGCCAGTCAAAAAAGCTATCAAAACCCCTTTAATAATTGGCAAATTACGAAAAAGTATTAATTTAGAGGTTAGCCTATATGTTAATCTGTATCTCCCACATACAATGTGTTTTCTGCTCCTTTTGATTTTTATTCTATTTGTCCGGGTCTAATCTGTCTTTACATTTTCTGTTATTGCCTTGTCTCTTACTGTATATAATTTTCTTGAGTTATGGTGTTACTGTTAATGTACATTGTTCATCTGAACGTGTATTTGTTTTAGTGCGTTTTAACTGCATGGCCCACTAGATGGGGTCAAAAGCTAAACTAAACAGGTAGACTGTAAAAAAGGGTGAACTGGCCCAGATGACACATTGTTTGTGTTACACATTAAAGTTTATTCCCTTTAATGGTCAAACCGTTTGATATCGGTGTTAAAAATGACACAGGGAAGTTAAGTGCTTGTGTAACCGGGATATACCGCAGACTGTATAGGTCAGGTCACTCAACTTTTGAAAAAAGGGTTTTCTTCAGACGGTCCACGTCACATTTCCATGCAAAACGTGGTTTTGTCGGCCGGTCCGATAACCACACATGTAAAACCATATTCACACGAGTCACTACTTGGTTTGCTGATGCGGTTGTGAATAAAATAAGAACGTCAACGTCTGAGAACATGAAAACAGGAAATAATAACATTGTGGCGAGAACGCGCACGGCGCCGCCGCCCATGAGTGCTCGACCCGTGCACTAAAAGAAAAGAATCCTTGACGCCATCTTGTTCCCAGACGACAACGATGACTACTTTTCGTTTCACGAAAGGAAGTCGCTTTTTATCGCTCGGCGAAAGTAGTCCATTTCCATTTTATGGACAACAGCTACATTGGTGTGTCGACCCATATCAGTTTTACCCGTCAGACCGTCTCTTTAAGAAATAAAACTCACACACGTTAGTGTTACCTAATGGCGCCTGGTCGTAGTTGCTCTCCGGTTGCGCCCCTCTCCCCTCACAGCTCAAAGCCCGCCCACAAATACTAGCTGCATGATGTCATCACAAACCAACCATTTCTCAAAAACAAAATTTTTCATCAATTGGCTTTTGGACCATTATTAATCCCCCAACAACTGTGCTGCCACTATGTTAACATTAAAGAGGTCAGATCATCTTCAGACCGAAAACGCGATGGGCACAACGGTAATGGATAAATGTTATCTTCTCCGGAAAAAATCGACATTGACCCTTTAATCGCAGCATCCTCCACAGCCGTTTAGGAACATTTCCATTTAGATAGCTGGTGAGGGTGGCTCGATCTGCCCAACTTTTGCCTCCGTCCTCCCCCAAGTTTATTTCAAACAACCTGACTGCCCGTACACCAGCAGTTGCAGCGGTCCTGCGCCAACGCGCATGCGTGGGGGGATGCGGTTTAGGGTGGGGGAGGGTCAATAAATGGAAACGATGAGAACATCCTCTCTCAACATATGATGTCAAAGGGATTTCTACAGACATATTTCTGGGGAGATGGCAGCAACCGATTTACCACAACAATAAAGGTGTCGGAAAAATAGCTAGAATTATTTTTGTTCCAGTATCAAACATGTCTCAGCAATATGGTTGTGTGATAAATCAAAAGGGTTTGGAAGTTGCAACTACTAGGTGATGATTATAGGACATAAAACAGACACAATCAATTATGTTTTACAGAGGCGTTAATTTGGTATTTTGTGTAATTACACACAGTAAATTTATTTTATTCACATTTTTGTAAGCCTAAAAAATGTTGTGAGTGAGAGCTTGTTGTCCATGATTTAATTTTAGTGGTCAGTGTTTCATAGGCTACCCCTTCCTGACATCAGTTCAATATACAAAACGCTGGTCTTGTGTAAGGGGTTACATAACAGCTTAGTTGCCTCCTACTGCGTTGAGATTTAGGTGCTCCTTTTCAGCCATACCAGTGGTAAAATAAAGGATGTTTGAATAAAATAGCCGCATTTCGGTTTGGTAAACTCTAGTGAGTTTCACAAGCATTCTTAAGGCAGTATTAATAAACAACCTGGACTGGCCTACTCAGCCAGCCTTTTTTGGGTATCCAATTGTATCCTATGTCTGTCTATGGATCTAAAAAAAAAGAACAGATGCCATACATACCTAATAAATCAAAAGCATTAAAGAGATTAAATGCAGTATACACTGACTGTGAGTTTCTGTCAAGGCAAAATACCCATTACTAGGCTGGGATTGTACTATGCCCTTTTTCACCCTGAGAGGAAACAACAATAATTTAAACAAAACCTCCTGACAAAAGCATCCCCACAGACAGCTGACTTCACTTTCAGGAGATGACCATGAAGATAGCACAGACAGCAATGTAACCAGCACACCACATTGTGTAGGCCATGAACTGCACAACAGTCTGCATGCATGCTGCAAGATTTGTCTGATATGCTATTTGTTAAATCCTGGAGGGGGGAAAAGCATCAAACCACCTCTATTATGACTTCAGCACGTTTAATTATCAATTAGTAATTATTTAACATGCTATGGTCCGTTATTTCTACTAAATGTCCATTTATAAGAATAATAACAATAGTGCTAAAAGTTAAATCCAGTGCGTAGCCGACAGAAATAGCAAAGGCTCGAGGAATCACAGTCCTGAACACGCATGAAGCACGGTAAAAGAGTGCCCCTGTGAAATCGGGAGTGTAGCCCCGCAGTATGTGGAGGCGGAGCTCGGGATTGGTGATGGGGAGGAAGGGGGGCTCGTGGGGGAGGCGGAGTCTCGGCAGTCCTGGCAGGGCCGCCATTTTTGCAAAGGGAAAAGAGACTGGTTAGGGGATCTAATTTCTAAAAGTCGCCGTTGACTAGGGTACAGTTTTTAACGGTTTCGCATTAATTTCTAGTCAAATTTGTGTCACCGCGTAGAACAAGAAGCAAGGGATTTTTTCACAGGAAAGGACTCTTTAGGGGACACGTTAAAATACAAACATTTTAAAGCTTTGCTAGGGATCCGCAGTGTGTGGACAGAAGTATTGTTTTGGTTGTGGAAGCTGTGTGGAAGCGACGGGGGTCTTACCCAGGTCCCCTTATTCGCTATTCAGATCCTCCAGAGTGGACATAAAACGGTAAGTAAACTGCATTAACTGGTTGTTGTAGAGTGAGCACAAATCCGACCTAGAACGCTATTGTTGGCTTTACTTAGCTGGCTAGGCACATCATGCTGATGCTGGCTAACGTAGTTGTAGTATCAGCTGAGGTTAGCTTGCTAGCTATCTGATCAACACTGTTAGCCCAGGGTCTATATGTGAGAAGCAGCTTTATCAACAAAATGAAAAGGACTAACTAGATGACGTAAGTTTCCAATGTAAATGTCAAGTTGCTAAGCGTAACGCCAGGAGACCGCTTGCTAGCTAGCGCATGCTACTATGCTAGCTCAAATTAGCTTTACTCAGACCGAACATGGCTCTGACTTTTCGTTGATCGAGTGGCAATAAACGAAACGTCATACAAAGTTATCGGTTTAATATTATTTACAGGCTGATGTGATTAATTAAAGTGTTTACCACATATTTAAAAACGCCTACATAACGTACACTTCAACGTTATAGGTAACGTAAGACAAAAACGCTGCAATTAGATTAATGCCTGTCCCATAGCCTACCGTCTTCGTTACAGCATACAGACTTTGTCAACAACAGTTAACATTGCCAGCAGTGAACTTGTCCTTAAAACATGACTATTCGCACATTGACTTAATATAAGTAGAGCCAGATAGGGGTGTTGATGATGTTTAGTTTGACACAGTGACACTGCGGGCCATATTGCGCATGGTTTCCTCCGTTTTTAGTGTAAATAATGTGACCTCCTAATACAACACTGCCCGCTTTATTTCGAAGCAGTTAATTTACATTAGCCAGGGTCCTTGCAACTGCAGCTGTCAGTAAACGCGCCAGTTCTTTTGGGATATCTTCTGTTACTCGATTGGTGTTTGCAACACTGTCATCCAGCATGAAAACAGGACATTTAGCATTAGTTACACACTTGAATATGTCGTGGTGGCTCCCATCCTGCTCACCCAGAGCACGGGACATTATTTCCGTTCAGCGAAATTTTATACAATGCCACTTTTCAAAGCCAGAGAACAATGAGCTTTTACATGCATGTAAACAGACAAATATATTAAATCTGTTATGTCCTAGTCAACTAAAAGCAATACCAACTGTTAAAATTGCTTACATGTCTAGCTACATTGCGCAGTAATCTCATAGGCTACTGAGCTATTAAAGAATCGTAGTTATAACAAGGTGAAATCAAGTATATATCGTGTCAAACGAGGAACAGACGACTGCTATTTTGTTATAATCTGACTTAAAAGTACAT